GAGAGAGAATTTTTTAATATTTATTTTTTAGTTTTCAGTGGACATAATATCTTTATTTTATTTTTATGTGGTGCTGAGAATCGAATCCAACTCAGTCTGTATTTTATTCGTTCGTGTGTGTGTATGTGTGTGTGTGTATGTGTGTGTGTGTATGAATATTTGTGGCTACTTCAAAACAAAATACTACTCCTCACCTGCTTCCTTTATTAGGTGCTCACATAATTGAAACAATGAAATAGCTCTGCAAATTAATTTTTTTTTAAATACAAGCTTTGGGGTAACTCAACCCATAGTTTATAAATAAGGAAAGATATTTTCTGTAAACATTTATTAAAGAAATAGAGATTTAAAAAAAAACTCCCTAAGTATACACTTGAAAATTTTTAAAATACTGACTGATTTTTGAGACAGTGATTTATTTCTTATCAGGAATGGATTTATTTTACACACACTGATTTTTAAAAGCCAGATGTCAGCTTTAGAATTAGAGATATCTCCTTTGGTCTCTCTACCCAACCCCCGACTCCTTCTTTCTTTGAGTGATAGAGTAGCTATAATGTTACCACTTTACTCTCAACAACAAATAAAAGCAAATCAGTGAAACTACAGTATAATCAATATTGATAGGAGATGATTGGTCATGCAATCAGCAAAGGCATTTATTTTGTCTCTACCTTTTGGAGGGTATCATTGACCAGTTTTGATAACCTAGTTTGTAGATTACAGCAACTGCTATTTTTTTGAGAATTAGTTTTGAACTTTAGCTTACAATGTAAGAATAAGTGTTTAGTAAAGCAAGCCTCCCATTCCTCTGGAAACAGAATTTGACATCAGTCGAGTTAGTGTTATGAACACTGGTTGATTTATGAATTTGTCTACCTTTTGATCAAAAGGCAGTGTATTTTTCCAGATCACTTGAAAACAGAGAGATTACAATGCCATTTGGCGATGACATTAATTATCATAAATTGATGTATTTTAGCCTAATGTAAGAAATATAAAGATGTTTGTTTGCCATTTTTCCTTTACAGCATAGCTCAAAATTCATCTTCTCAACAGTTCTTTAAATTTCAGTGTCAGTTTCCATAGACTCAGAATCTAAAGTAGGAAAACACAGCATTTGTGAGTGGTACTGGGAAATTGGTGTGAAGATAAGATAGCCACAAGTAGTTATCTGTTAAGTAAGAGGTTACTAATAAGAAATCTATCAAAATATGAGGGTTGATTTCATTAAAAGTGCTTCAACAAAAACATATATTTCTCTAGAAAATTCTAATTCAATAGACATAGAATTGTATCCTTTTTCTTTAATATATTCTCCAACTGACTCTTATATACATTTTGAATTTTTAACTCCACTGTTCTAGAATGGAGCATTCTATTATCTGTGTTCTTAGTCTTTAGCAATAGCTGCAGAACACATCTATTTGGATACAACTAACATTTTAATTGCAATTTTTGTTTGTTTTGTTTTTTAAATATGAGAATATATTCCATAGTGTGGAATGGTTTATCATTCTACATTAAGAAAGCTTCCCTAGAGTGAGCTTTCCCTTGAGAAAACCAAAGATTACCTGGGAAGAGAGTATGGTCAGGAATTCTATATCTGTGGAGTTCCTGGTCCCTAGTAGGTACATAGTAAATATTTGTTGATTGAATATAAATATAAAGTGCTTAGGATAAGCAGTAAATATTGACCAAAAAATGTTTTCTTTCTTTCTTTTTTTTTTTTTTTTTGGTACTGGGGATTGAACTCAGGGGCACTAAACCATTGAGCCACATTCCCAGCCCTATTTTATATTTTATTTAGAGACAGGGTCTCACTGAGTTGCTTAGCACCTTACTTTTGCTGAGACTGGCTTTGAACTCACGATCCTCCTGACTCAGGCTCCTGAGCTGCTGGGATTACAGGCATGTGCCACTGTGTCTGGCCTCCGAAAAATCACTTTTGTAGACAGAACCTATAGTGCAAAAAGTGTAAACTGAAATTGTTTTTCCAGTACTATAATGACAACTGAGAGCATTTATTTTGTCTTCTGCCTCTCATATTTGCTGTTCATTCTCTTTTTTTGGAAACTTGCAATTTGATAACTTTCCATAATTTTATTTAACACTATTTTTAATAACTGTTTTAGCACTTTTGAAACTTAACTTTATTATGTCCTGCCTGAGTACATTTTCATGTTCCATGAACTTTCAGCTGCTGTACCTGGTGTGATTTTTGGTGACCTGCCAAAATAAGAGGAGGTTATATGTTATATGTCAGCTTTTAATAATCAGAGTGAAGAAGGGGCATGTACTCATGGCCTTTCCCTCTAAATTCTAAATTATATTGTCTATGGAAGAGCTTCTCAGATTCTCCATCTGTCTGTGGTGTAGAGCAGCAGGCCACACATGGCTTACTTTTTTTGGTCTTTGCTTCAATAAGATCCTGTATCAAAAACAAATGATTGTATTGTTTAAGTCAAGAATTCAAATGCATATTGTTGATCAGAACTTGATTCTATAGAGTTATACTAGGTTTCTTTATCTTTGGTGAGGATATTGTTTTATCTCAGCAAGGTCAATGAAGAATCTAATTGAATTTTGCCTACTTAAATTTTTATGTCACAGTAATGAAAAAAGTGCTTCTTGTAAATGCAGTATTTTATTTATTAAATCATTTAGGAAATTAAGATATGTTGCTATTTGGGTTAAAAACAGACAAATCTATGTTCAGCCTAGCTATCTAAACACAGGGTTCTCCTTTTGAATAATAGTTTAAATAGATTGGCAACCAGTTGCTAACTGTTTTTGTTAATAAAATTTTATTGGAATATAGCCATTCTAATTTCCTTAAGTGCATGTCTACAGTTTGCCCTACAACACAGTTGTGTAGTTGTCATAGAGATCAGTCTAACCAAAAAGTTTGAAGTGTTTGTTCTCTGGCTCTTACAGAAAAATTTTGCTACTTATTCTCTATAATAAAAGTAATTTAGTTTGGTGCCCTGATTTCCTAATTAAGAAAAAAAAAAAAACACGGGTGAGCATTTTATACTTCAGAGATATTTTGTGGTATATACATAGCAAGAATATTGCCTGTGTTTTTCAAAGAACAATTATAAAAGTTTGCAAATCCATAATAATAATAATAATTTTGGATCAAGCAAAATCATATGTACAAATTACATGAAATATTTAGTTTTTTTAAATCTTGTACCATTTAGAAGATTTCTCTTTTCCTGGTGGCTAAGATTATCAATTATATCAAATTAATTAAGAGGTGCAGCATATTTGATATGTTAATGATATTCCTTTAGTTGTTTCTGAGACAGAAGTTTTACTAAAAGAGCTGGAGCAAATGCTACAGCAAGCCCTAGAGCCCACAGCAGTACCTGATGAGTCTGAAGAAGAATGTGGAGAAGAAATTAATGCAAGAGAAAAGGTAGTATTGAAGTTATTATCGGGCCTAAATAGCAACTTCAAGTTTTTTAAATGGCAGAATTGTTTCTGATTGTACATTTCAGTTATACAAAATGCCTATTTCACATCTGAAATTTGAGCTCTTGGTTATCATGAAGTGAATTGTAAAGTAGTTGCCTTTTGAGAAATCAGAATACATCTATCAGTTTTGGGAAAGATATCTGTGTTTAAGTAGAGAAGTTCTTTTAATTTGAGATCTTTGTGATTGTAATGAAGAAATATGGAAGAGGTTCGCTATAGCAGTAGTTCACTCAGAAAGACCTCTCCCCTGCTTCTGATCTTTTCAATTGGAAGGGGCCAGGATAACAGCAGCTCACTAGAAAAGGGTAACAACTTACTGGGAAATCTGCCCTGTCCAGATCATGCACCAGGATGACCTCTATAACAGAAAAACCTCATTAGTAACAGTGGCGGTAGAATCTTTCATTGGAATAAGTTTCACCTTTTATATCTTGGTTTATGCTCCATAACCCCCTACATTTTGGACAGTTATGTTGGGCTTAGGCCACATGTGCTTACTTTATTTAATGCCTGCAACTAAAATGAGGGCTTGTGATATAAGACCCAGGCTATTAATACAAAGTAGCAATGAGAAAAAAAAAAGCCATATGGTAGACTTCCACCAGGCATACAGTTGTACCCTAAATAGTAAGAAAGAAAAATGACAGTACAGAGTTTTGTATCTTAAAGTTCATTCATTCTTTCAGATATATGGTGTATCTGCAGTCAAGAGAACATATTGAGCCTCACTCTCTTATATAATGTCTGTTTTCCTTGTCCTGGTTTTATCATTAATGACTTTTGAAATTTAGCAAAGTTGTTTGCCACCTGCCTCAGGATTGTTTTAGGGATTAAATAAGGTAAACTGGGAAAAGTGCTTGACATAACATCAGATACCTCAGGTTAACTATTATAGATGAAAATTGGTAATAGCAGTTTATAAAGAGCATAAATGCTAAAATTTTCTTTTTTTTTTAAAGAGAGAATTTTTTAAATATTTATTTCTTAGTTTTTCAGTGGACATAACATATTTGTTTGTATGTGGTGCTGAGGATCAAACCCGGGCTGCACACATGCCAGGCGAGCGCGCTACTGCTTGAGTCACATCCCCAGCCCCTAAAATTTTCTTACATCACTTTTATTTTCCCACATTCTTGCTTTGAGAAACTACCTACCCTGAAATCTTATTGTTTTCAGATGCAGAAAAAGTTGGATTTAGGACCATTTCTAAATGGTTTACATACTTCGGCAGACTATTCAGTTGCATGATTTCATTTAGATTGTCAATATATGTAAGGATGAGTCTTTAGCACCTCCTTTACTGAGTTAGAAATTTACAAAATTTATAGAATTTGTTAATAAGATAAATGTATTAAGAGAAGAAAATTAGTATCAACTACTGAGTTGTAAATCATGGTAAGTTTTCTTAATCAGCACCAGCAATGGCAAATTTTGCCTGAATCTGCATAGGTTATAAATGCCATTTTTCCAATGAAGGGTTCCTTTCATTAAAAAAAATATTGTTTTCTATAGATGGATCTTACCCTTTGTAGAAAAATATCTATAGATTGGTGACATGCATTTTATATGCATATAATTAATATACAAATTATTCTTTTTTAGCCTTGTTTGAATATTTGAATGCCTTGTTTGAATACCATATGGTTTTGTGTAGGTTTTTTTGTGTGTGTGGTTTTTTTTTTTTTTTTTTTTTTTGTCCATTCTAGGCAGCTTTTCTTTTCAAAAATACAGCTTGGTTAATTTTTATAGTGATGTCCTGGAGCTTTTACAGTCATAGAAATGGCTTCTATTTTGGCATTATAACTAGTAACTTGATAGAACAGAAAATTACTTCTGATTTTATTTCTTAAGGTAAAATACATAGTTTTAATTCACCACTAGGCAGGAGCTTACTTTTTGTTTTAGATTCTTGTATTATTTTACTCTTTCAAAAGGCATTTAGGAATTATAAAAATTAATTATTTTAACTTGCTGGCAGGCAGGTGAGTGCCTCCTGCTGACTAGTTTAAAGCCACTGTGCACACTGAGCTTCCTAAGTCTGACATTCATGCCAGGTTCAGAATATTTAGGGCCTTATTCACTTTTAAATGAGGAGAATAGCAATGAATCTGAATATCAAAACTGAAACAGTTTCCAATGTAAAATTAAAGAAATGATCACTTCTAGGATTTCATTTTTTTAATTTTTGATTATTACAAAGAATTAATATGCCTTCCAAAGGGAATTTCACACTTAAAACAGGATTTTATTTTGATTTTAAGAAGAAAGTAGTCTCTCAAGCTAAAAATGCCAAGAAGAGCCACCTGATAATTTTAAAGTCCTGAGCCTGTTGATTCTCTTAGAAGATATTATATGAGCTATTTTCAAAGTTGTAACTTTAATGATATTTTCATCATTCATTTCACCTGTGAGATTTCAATTTGATTACTCTCAAGCATTTACACCAACAGATGAGAGTCACAATGTGGAAAAAAGCATACACACATGGATAATCAAAACACTTTTCTATTTGTCATTGAAATGCTTTATTAGATTATTTTCCTCAGTAGAGTCACCTTCCTAATTATGTTTTTCTTTAGCTAATATTAACACTGGTTGACATACCCTGACTTGGTAAGCAAAGGGAAGAAATTAACTGCAGGTTTTTATATATCTATTAGAATAATTCACAAATTGGATAATCCATATACAAATAAGACCATTTACTACATAATAATTTGGAATAAATGGTACATTTTTAAATATTAAAATACTCTTATGAACTACATGTGCTTTTTTCAACTTTGAATTGAATGAGAAATTAGCCATATCCTTAATGAGCATTGAAGTTATGGACTTCATATGTGTATGTGCATATGCACAAATAAATTGTTTTCACAAGTCAGTCCCCTTCCACACTAAACTAGAGTACACATAGCTTATGAGAAGATAGTGGCAGAAAATTTGTCTAAAACAGTTTTAATCTGTATTCTCTATAATAATTTTTAAAATAAGCTAATACAGAAAACTAAGACAAAATAAAATCATTTTTTCCAAATCATAAAATTAAAAGTAAAAATGGATAATGTTGAGAAATAGAGACAGAACCTAAATAATAATTTACTTCTACAGAAACATATTTACTATACATTATACTGTATATAAGAATCATTATTTGACCTCCAATAAAGAAAACTTTATACACTGCTGTGACTTGAGGAATTACCACTACTTTATATTTTGTTCAAGTAATCAAGTAAATATGATATAGTTCTGATGATTTATATGGTTGTTTTCACAGTTATCTAAAGGCATCCCTGAAGCTCCTGCAGGCAGCCCATTTCAAAATCAACATGAAGAGGACTATCTTGTAATTGATGGAATGAAATTAAGAGCTGGAGAATGTATTGAGAATATAACTAATAAGTTTAAAGAAATAGATGCCTTGATGTCTGAATTTTAGGGTGTTACGCATATTTTCAGAAGTTAATTGGGAAAACATTGGTATTTTTCTGAAGCCAGAAATTTTAAAATGTTTGGTAAAATAGGTATACATTATATACAAAAGTTGATATTTATGACAACTTTGTACTTTAAATTTTGAAAATATCCATAGTTTTGAGAGCCAAACAAATTGTATTGAAGTTAGAGTTCGAAGTTTTAAATTAAAGAAAAGCCTTATTTTCTTATTTGTAGATATTTTGTTTGCCTTATTTACAAAATGGTTTATGGAACTTACCTCATAAATACACACTTTACAATGCTTATTTAGGTCATTTATTCAAGTATGGCAAAGTACTAAAATGGCTGACCATACTATTACAATTCTTAGAGATAATTCAAATCTAATTAATATATTTATAAAATTTGTATTTGTATTATACTTAAATTATTATAAAATAAAAGGACATAATAAAAATATAGTAGTATAATAAAGTTGGAGACTTCTTAAAAGACAAAAATGTCAGTAGCCTCATTATATTAGAAACAATTATTTCCATCATGGTTTCTCAAACTGCTTATTTAACAGTCTTTAGGAAACTTGGAAGCAACAGAATCCTGGAACTTTCCCTGTTGAATCAGTATCTCTGAAGGTGAGCATGGGAAAATGTACCAAGAGAAATTAAACATGCACTATTAAAAAAAATCCAATAATATAAAAGTTAAAAGTACATCATTGTTAAAAAAAATTACTTCTTTAAGGCCCTATATCCTAATACTGTCACATTCTCATACACTGAGACTTAGGAATATAGCCCATAACAGTATAGTATAAATGAATAATATCTGCCATGTAATATCTTACATATTTTCCAGTTATTATAAACACTTAATTAGATTTTTAATTTTTTAAATTTGTTCTTTTTAGTTATATATGATATTAGAAAATATCCATGGTTTTGAGAGCCAAACAAATGTATTTTGACATATTATACCATGCATGGAGTATAACTTCCCATTCTTGTGGTTGTATATTATGTGAAGTTACACAAGTTGTGTATTCATATACAAACATAGGAAGGTTATATCTGATTTACTCTGCTGTCTTTCCCATACCCCCAATTCCCCCCTGTCCAATCTGCTGAACCTTCAATCCTCCCTCTGCTGCTCTACAGCCTATTTTGAGTCAGCATCTGCATATTAGAGAAAACATTCAGCCTTTGGTTTTAGGGGATTGGCTTATTTCCCTTAGCATGGGAGTCTCCAGTTCTTTTCTGGCAAATATTATAATTTCATTCTTCTTTATGGCTGAAAATATTCCTTTATGTATATATACCACATTTTCTTCATCCTTTCACTTATTGAAGGGCACCTAGTTGGTTCCATAGCTTAGCTATTGTGAATTGAACTGCTGTGAACATTGTTGTGGCCACATTACTATGGTATGCTGATTTTAAATTGTTTGGGTATATGCTGAGGAGTGGGATAACTATGTCAAATGGTGGTTCCACTCCATGTTTTCTGAGGAAACTCCATACTGCTTTCCATATTGGTTGCACAAATTTGCAGTCCCACCAGCAATGTCAGAGTGTGCCTTTTTACCCCACATCCTCATCAACATTTATACTTGTATTCTTGATAATTGCCTTTCTTACTGGAGTAAGATGAAATCTCTGTTTACTTTTAGTTTGCATTTCTCTAATTGCTATTGATTTTGAACATTTTTTCATATATTTGTTGCCTATTCCATTTCTTTTTCTGTGAAGTGGTTATTTGTTTTTTGCTTGTTTGTTTTTGTTTTCGTTTTTTGTATTAAGTTTTTTGAGTTCTTTATATATCTTGGAGATTAATGCTCTATCTGAGGTGCAGGTGGCAAAGATATTCTCCCATTCTGTAGACTCTCTTTTCATGTTCTTGATTGTTTCCTTTGCTGTGAAGAAGCTTTTTAGTTTGATAAAATCCCATTTATTGATTTTTTATTTTAATTCTTGTGCTTTCAGAGTCTTGTTGAGGAATTCAGTTCTTAAGCCAACATGATGGAGATTTGGGCCTACTTTTTCTTCTAGTAGGTACAGGGTCTCTTAACTAATGCCTAGGTCCTTAATCTATTTTGAGTTGGATTTTGTACAGGTTGAGAGATAGGGGTCTAACTTTATTTTATTACATATGGATTTCTTGTTTCCCCACCACCATTTGTTGAAGAGACTATCTTTTATCCAATGTAGTTTATGGCACCTTTGTCTAGTATGAAATAACTGTAATTGTGTGGGTTCATCTCAGTGTCTTCTATTCTGTACCATTGGCCTTCATGGCTGCTATGGTGCCAATACTATGCCATTTTTTATTACTGTAGCTTTGGTTTAAATTAAGGTCTGATACTGTGGTCCCTCCTAGCTTCACTTTTATGCTGAGAATTGTGTTGGCTATTCTGAGCCTCTTATTTTTCCAAATGAATTTCATGACTGCTTTTTCTATTTCTATGAAGAATGTCATCAGAACCTTAATAGGAATTGCATTGAATCTGTGTAGTGCTTGGTAGTATGGCCATTTTGACAATATTAATTCTGCCTATCCAAGAATATGGGAGATCTGTCCACCTTCTAAGGTCTTCTTTAAATTCTTTATTTGGTATTCTGTAGTTTTCATTGTAGAGGTCATTCACCTCTTTAGATTGACTCCCAAATATTTTAATTTTTTTGAGCTATTGTGAATGCGGTAATTTTCTTTTTCTTTCAGTGGATTTATCACTGATGTATAGGAATGAAGTTTATTTGTGGGTGTTAATTTTATATCCTGCCACTTTGCTTAATTCATTTATGAGTTTAAGAAATTTTCTGGTGGAGTTTTTGGATTTTCTAAATGTAGAATCATGTCATCAGCAAATAGGAATAGTTGTTCTTCTTTTCTTATTTGCATCCCTTTAAATTCTTTCTTTTGTCTAATTGCTCTTTCTAAAATTTCCAGAAATGTGTTGAATAGAAATGGTAAAAGAAGGCATCCCTGTCTTGTTCCAGTTTGTAGAGGGAATGCTTTCCATTTTTCTCCTTTAGAATGATGTTGGCCTTGGATTGTCATAGTTAACTGTTACATATAGATCTATGTTCCTACTATCCTTAGTTTTTCCTAGTGTTTTGAAAATGAAGTTGTGCTATATTTTGTCAAATGCTTTTTCTGCATCTATTAAAATAATCATGTTATTCTTGTCTTTAAGTCTATCTTTTTAATATGTTTTTGTATGTGATTTGTCTATTTTATTTAAAATTTGTGCATGTATGTTCATGAGGGATATGGTATTGGTCTGAAGTTTTTTTCCTTGATGTGTCTTTGTCTGCTTTTGGTATCAGGGTGATATTAGATTCATAGAATGTGTTTTAAAGTGTTCATTTCTTTTCTATATCATGGATTGAAGGTTGGTACAATGCCCCTGAGAATTTGTCTGGTCCTGGGCTTTTCTTGGTTGGTAAGCTTGAGGGCATCTTCAGTTTCATTGTTTGAAATTGATCTGTTTAAGTTTCCTGTGTCCTCCTAATTCAATTTGAGTAGGTTGTATGTCTCTAGAAATTTGCCAGTGTCCAAGATTTTCTATTTTTTTAGAATATGAATTTTCAAAATAGCTTCTGGTTATCATCTGTATTTCAGTAGTGTCCATCGTGATATTTTCTTTTTTCTTTCTGAATTTTAGTAATTGGAGTTTTTTCTCTCTTTGCTAGCTTGGCTAAGGGTTTATCAATTTTATTGATTTTTTTCCCCAAAGTACCAACTTTTTGTTTATTTGATTTGGGGAGATTCTTTTGTTTCAATTTCATTAATTTTAATTATTTCCTATCTTCTACTTTTGGTGTTGATTTGTTCTTTTTCTAGAACTTTGAGATGTAATATTAGGTCACTTATTCATTGACTTTCTTTTCTCTTAATGAATGAACTCAATGCAATGAACTTTCCTCTTAGCACTATCTTCATAGTGGCTCAAAGATTTGATATATTATATCACTATTCTCAATTACTGCTAAGTATTTTTTATTTCATCCCTGATTTCTTTTGTTATTCATTCATTGTTCAATTATTTATTATTTAATCTCCAGGTGTTAGAGTAGTTTCTATTTTTTATATATCATTGATTTCTAATTTCATTCCATTATGATCTGATAGAATGCAGGGTTATTATCTCTGTTTTTTTTATATTTGCTAAAAGTTGCTTTATGGCATAAGATATTGTCTATTTTGGAGAAGGATCCATGTACTGCTGAGAAGAAAGTATATTTGGTTAAAGATGAATGAAATATTCTATATATGTCATTAAGTCTAAATTATTGATTGTATTATTTAGTTATATAGCTTCTTTGTTTAGTTTTTGTTTGGAAGATCTGTCCAGTAGTGAGATTGGTGTGTTAAAGTCACCCAGTATTATTGTGTTGCAGTCTACTTGATTCTTGAAATGGAAAAGAATTTGTTTGATATACATAGATGCTCCATTGGTTGGGGCCTAAATATTTGCAGTTGCTATGTCTTGCTGATGTATAATCCCCTTAAGCAGTATGAAATATCCTTCTTTGTCCTTTCTGATTAACTTTGGCATGAGGTTCACTTTATTTGGTATGAAGATGGAAATCCTTGCTTGTTTAAATGGTCCATGTAAGTGATACATTTTTCCTGTCCTTTGGCATGTGGATGTTTTTGCCTATGAAGTGGGTCTCTTGGAAATAGCATATTGTTTTTGGTCTTGTTTTTTAATCCAGGCTACCAGTCTGTGCCTTTTGATTGATGAGTTTATGTCCTTTACAATTAATGTTATTATTGAGATATGATTTGTAATCCCAGGCATTTTGATTTATTTCTGGTTTTTAATTTGAATTAGTTTCTCCATTGATTCACTGTTCTTTAGTGTTCTTGCTCCCTCTGCTGGTTTTCACTTTTATTTTTCATTTCTTCTTTTTTTATGTTTTCTAGTGCAGACTTTCTACTTGTGAATTCTTTTAACTTTTGTTCATCATGTAATGTTTTATTTGACCATCAATTCTGAAGCTTATTTTAGTATTCTTGGCTGGCATCCATTTTCTTTCCTTTTTTTCTTTTTTTTTAAAGAGAGAGAGACAGACAAACAGAGAGAGAATTTTAATATTTTTTTTTTAAATTTTCAGCGGACACAACA